CATTGGAGAATCAATGCTATGATTCAATGTTTTGTAAGTGGGTTAGATGCTACTAACCGCAAAAACCGTGACCTGATGGTCTGTGTAGAATATTTCATAAGAAGTAGTATGTACAAAGACCATCAGGTCACGGTTTTTGCGGTTAGTAGCATCTAACCCACTTACAAAACATTGAATCATAGCATTGATTCTCCAATGGAATGCCTCTGAAAGAGCTGTCTATCCATTGGTCACTCGGTGTTGCAAAAAAGGTTGTTGTGACGAAAATACACTTCCTGGGTACAAGTATAGGAATAAACTGACAAAAGATTACCGGATAAGCATGCCTGACGAGCGGCAAGAACCGCTAAACCGGTCGTGTGCTTCCAGGGACTTTCGTCCAGTCATTCTCATACTACATATTATACTACATATATATATATATATATATATATATATATATGCAGATATTACATGGGCTTAGAAACAAGCATGGTGTTAACGTCGCCACAATCTTTGTCGCACCAGTAATTTCAGTTTCGTTTTTCTGCAAAATTCGAATTTTGCTCATCAATACTCGTATGTTATCCCCCTCACTGTTCTTTAAGGTTTTCTATCCCGAATCGCTCTCTTCCTGTAATCCAGATTGCATTAACTCAGCTTTGTTTGACTTAAAAAAGCATTTATGGTTTATGGTGTAATCAATATCGAGCTTTTCCTTACAGTTGTCTTTTGTAGAATTTGCTATATTTTCTTCAAAATGTGTGCGCTGAGTTTCACCGTATCAACATGATCTCTCTCAGGACAACCACCTGGTTAGTAATATACCGGGAACCTCTCGTTCGAATTTGTTATCGAACATCAGTTGCCAAATCAAAGAATGCCTGACTTTGTCTCGTTCTGAAGTGTGGCCATACGCTTTGGTCCTATCGGCCCGTCTGCTCCGTATTTGGCCTCACGAAGAACTAGCTTCTACCACCCAGTTGGACCCCAATTTGTGTGAACTGTTACGTCATGTTGTTCGACTTCGTGACGCTCTGGTGGATGGCCCCCGCAGCTTGTTTAGCCTAATTAATTCTGACGGACTTCATCCCGGCTCTACCTCACACGAATCTGTAATCGTAGACGAGGATCTTGGTGAACTTGTGATCGACGAACTGGATCGAGTTTGTTTGGTTGCTCTGGAAACCCTGGGTCCTGAATTATTCCTGACAGAAGGATTGCTGCCATTGGAGCCAATTGTCAATGAACTGTAAGTGAATTTAGAAGATACTCCTTTTTATTTGTCAGTCCAACAGTCGCGTTTATCGGTCTCAAAATTTGTTTGTTAATCACAAAATTTACTCATTCCCACGACGTTATTTCTGTGTTGGATTTTTACAGCGAATCTGGATCAGTCGATTTATGTCGATCATGGGCTCTCTTGCTTCTTGCTCGTGCGGTTCCGAAGAAACCATGCCGTCTGCATTTCTTTACAGAACGCATGTTACCCCTAGCGGATCGCGCATTAAACGTAGCTAAAAATGTCGTGGCTGCAATGGCAGCTAAACAGGACGAGAAATTTGGTGGTGCCGCCTTGATTACGGCGGGCATAACTGTCACTCGGCAGATTTGGGCCGGATTGAGTATGTTTGTTCGGCAGTCTCCACAGGATTGGTCCGAGTTGTCCACTGGCGGATTTGGGCGTCGTCTTGTAAAAGAGTTGGCAAATACCTCTGCCCTTCGACCAACTGTCCTGATGGCTTTCCGTCGCTTGGCCCTAGCTGCTCAACAGTCAGGTACGTTTTTTCCCCCTTTGCTGGGGGACCATCGTGAAAAAAATCAATATTGTTCTTTTTACAAAACAGAAAATAACTTCCGCCACCTCGAGGCGCTCGTAATTCTCCATTCATATGGCTTATTGAAAATGCTTGATAGAATACGATTTTGTTGAACCGAAATAAAATACTAGCATAAATAATCACTGTTTTGATGTACAGTATCACTCGCGAAAAGCGCACACAAGCTGAACGTTTAACCCACACATGCAGGCATTGCAATACCCAGGGATTCAGTTTTCTGTTTTCAAGGCAATGTAACATGTATAACAGAATGACAAGCTCTCGCTGATTCGATACAATTAATTTTGAAGATTATCATCATTAAAAATCCATGGTAATCGCCATTGTGTAACTACGGGATTAAGTCTTCGAATTTTCACAGTTCGTTTCTCGGTGAGCGAACCAAAGTTTACATGGAAGTAGTGGTTTCTACCTTCCTCTAAACATGCATGATTCACTACAACGTGCATCTCCTTGGGCTGCATGTAACTTCCTTTTTGTTATTTGAACAATTTTTGTGCAGAAACCGGCTTGATCGCCATGCGTGGCGGTGCAAAGTTAGCGATACCTACCATGCTGTCGTTGTACGAGAATGCGGAATCACCTGTTCATCTATCTCTACGACAGCAAATTCGTTCAACCCTTGCTGCTTACTTCCCGTGCTTGTCGAGCAAGGTGAGCGTTTTTTTCCCACAATTTTTTCCACAATTGACATCTTTTCTGCTTTTTGGCGATTAGCTCCATCTTTTTTTTATTCGGCCCAACATTCGTTTGGGGCAATGTTTCAATTGAAGTATCAGCCTAGATTTATCGTCCTTTCAGTATCGACCTAAATCAGTACCAGGTTTTTCTGAACAACTATTATTGTGCAATTATTTTTTATATTTGCATTGCATATCACATCTTGGCACAGAGTAAACTGAGCGAACTGAACTCTGTAAGGCATACTGTGTGGTGGGGAAAGCTGACAGCAGTTGCGTCCTTGGGCGGGTTAGTCGGCGGGAATTGGTCCCTCCATCGGTGTTTGCTGATTGTCTACAGTAAGTTTTGACGATTTCTGTTGATAAGCAAAGTAAGATACAAATTCACGCCATTTTGAACTTCCCGACCTCGTTTTTATGCGTTCTCTTGTAAACAGACTGAAGTTATTTCGATACCCAATCTTAGTCAATCTCTTATTAACTGATTTTACATAATTGTTTTTCTAGGTGGTCGCATCACCAGCCAAATTGGCTTATCAGAAATTAACATCTACACAAAAGTAAGTTCGTTGACATTGGTGATTGGTTGCTCCGTCGTCGTGCGGCTCATTACCACGGACACCTAACTTAACAGGGCCTTACGTGGTTCACCAATCCAGGCCTTGATGCTTAGATTGGCGGTATTCATAATTGAACAGCAGATCGACGTGACCATGGGGTTTACTCCGTCTACTGTTAATCATACAAGAACGTATCTCATAAAAGTATTCCATTACTCATAGACGGATGGGATCCGTGGGTTTTTTTGTTCGCGGGCGCACTCCACTAGCGTGTGCCATTCATAGTTGTGCATTGGGAACTGGGCTCTTGATGATGAAATAACTTTTAGTCATTTGTTAATATGAATATTATTACCTGTGAGCATCTGCACCTTGTTTCCCATAGTCACATCAAAATTCCAAACATTCCCCCTGTCCTAGACCTTCATTTACTAAGCGACCTCATTCTTATCCACTGCATCCTAGCTTCACAGTTCTCCCGCTCCGGAGTTATCACACACCTGGTCTCAGGGGGTTTTCCTCTTCTGCTGGATCTGCATTTGGGCACTTCACTTTTATGTAACCACCTCCTGCCTAAGGATAAGTCAGCTTCTTCATCGTCTCTAATGACTGTTAACCACGCATTGTGACGTGCGACAAAATCTGCTCATCGTGGAAGCCAGTTGTACCGGCGGTGCACTCTGAAAACCGACTGGAGACCTAGGAGATCAACATTTGATTTGAGGACATTCATAATCTGTCTTTAGCTGGTCACAGAGGTGATATCTCCAATTCGAGCAAGGTGCCGGTGATTGGCTTTTCGTTGTGAATTATATTTCGGATGGATGGAGAACATGACGGAACCCCTGGAAAAAAACAAGGAAAGCCTTAAACCCACATACTGTGAAGGTTTTAACGCGGTCATACCACTTTGTCAGAGGCACAAGTAGTCGAAGCTCTCGGGCAGTTTCGTGTCATCCACACTCGATGCTCACTTTTCGCAACTAAGTGCAAGAAAGCGGAGAACGGCTATCCGATAAACTCGCACTTTTGTGTGGAGATTTATTTTGTTGTGAACCCACAAGTGTTTATTTACCCATTTCTTGGAATTCTGTGCTTGTGCGATGGATGCAAAGCTTGATTTTGTCTTTGGTTTGGTCGTTTGTTTGCGTGGTGGACCCTGATTACTTCATCTGATGCACCAGTTCTACTGTTTTGCCGTTGCCGTTGAGGGGTGTGAAGAATGGAGATACTTATCTTGACGTACGACGCTGGCCTATGATTCGGTATAGTTAACGCTAGAATGACGAGAAAATTTACGCTCCGCGCGAATTGATCGGTCCATTCTTTATGTGTGCACTGCTTAGTGAATGATGTAATTTCAACCGCTGTAGTGCACATGCACTTCATCCTGAAAGTAGGGAAAGACCGCGCGGCGAACTAAGGGACCCCATAATGATGTACACTACATACACTCACTAAAGAGAAGGTCTCATTTGTTTTCAATAACAAAGGTTTTCTCTGACGAGGCCTTTCGAATACATGTACTGTAATGACTGCGTATGACCGATTTTGTCTGCATTGTTTACCGTGTCTTATTTACGTTATCAGCAGGACCGCCGTGAATATTTGTGAACACTGCACACACTTCCTTAATCAGCGTTCTCACGAGTTTGTTTCTTGGGGCTTCAACATCCTAGCCGTCTTTCACCCTTCAACCAGTTCGTCAAAATATCACAGCTCTTTTATTTGGACAAATCGATCACGAGGCACGGCGCTGCGGAAAGAACTGATTCCAGAAGAAGATTGCTGAATAAGCTAAATACAAGCTGCAACCGGTTCAATGTTTTTCAGTTCAGTTTGTACA